CCCAGCTTAGTTCTTGCAGCCCCCTTGTGTCCCCCCAGTCCTTGGGAGGCCACATTCACAGTGCAGCCTTTGCTCTGCAGATGATGAGGCGATGGCCACGGAGGTGACTCCCCCTGCCAACGCAGAGCTCACCGAGCTTGGCAAGTGTCTGATGAAGCAAGAGGTAAGTGCATGTGCTCTCACTGCCACCAGCCTTTCTCTGTACTCTTGTCACACCTGTCTGCCCAGCAGCCAGACACTGCTGCAGAGATCTAGGCTGCTGGAGTGTTCCCCATGTGGGAATCACCTCTTGGGAACATATATGGCTTTTAAGGGCCTTGCAGAAGCCACAAAGCAAATGGGGGTTGGGATCCAGTTATGAGACACAGCTGCAGAGCTTCAGCCCTTCTGGGGAAGAGCCCTTCTGGATATTGAGCCCCCAGGGTGCTCCCTGGCTCTGCCTTCATCCTGGGCCCCAGTTTTCATCCAGATATTTTTTTCTGTACTCTCTGCTGCAGATGCCTCAGAAGCTCTTGTAGAAGCTTTTGTGGTGACTTGAGAGTAGCAACTGGGGGGATTCTTTGAGTGCTCCAGGGTCTTTCCCAGGGAGATGGAGGGAGCAGGTTAACACTGGTCCCTCATGGTTCTGATGGTGCACACTGGGTGAACACCTTTCGCTAGAGCAGCAGTAACGTGCAGAATTTTCAGAAGCCCCTGTAGATTCTCTGGATTGCTTCTTTGCTCCCATCAGGTTTGAATGCTGGAAGTAGAAAATAGAGAAAATAGTTCCTCTGACTGGTTTTCCTCTCTGACTCCTTTTCAGGATGTTTGCACTGCAGTGTTGATCACTGCCTACACATCCCTGTCCTGGAAGGACACCTTGTCCTGCCAAAGAACCACAACACAGCTTTGCTGGCCACTACTCAAACAGGTACCTCCGGGAGGAGGAAGGGATTAGTTCTGGCAGGGTTGGGAGAGGAAGCTCTGAATGTTGTGAGAAGTGTGGCTGCTTCACCCCTGGGCACCTTCTCCCTCAGGAAGAGCAAGCTGTTGCAGAAAGGTGGTTATGTACCACCAGTATCTTGCTTCAGTGCTGACAGTGCTTCTTCCCCAGGTGCTTCCAGGAAACCTCCTTCCTGATGCTGTGTCCTGGTTTTTCACAAGTGTGCTCAAGGGCTTACAGGTACACGGGCAGCATGATGGCTGCATGGCAGCTCTTGTCCACCTGGCTTTCCAGATCTACGAGGCCTTGGTGAGAAATTCTGTTCTTCATCCAAATGTGAGGTTGAGGCATGTGAGGGGAATGGTGAAAAGCAATCCCATGCCTAGTGGGTAGGGGCAGAGGAGTTAATGGCCCCCAGGGAGGGCTGGGCTGTTACTCTAGCAGAGCTGTATTAATGGTGCTCCTCCTGCAGCGCCCTCGCTATGGTGAGCTGAAGGCAGTGATGGAGCAGATCCCAGACATCCAGCTGGAATCTTTGGAACAGTTTGATTCAAAGCTTCTCAACCCAACGCTGCAAAAAGTGGCAGACAAGCGCCGGAAGGATCACTTCAAGCGCCTCATCTCAGGTTGCATTGGGGTAAGTGATATCCTGGAGGAAAATTTCACCGCTCTATGCTGCAGAAGTGATGGGGTAGCTGGCCTGCCTCCTCTCAACAACCACCCCCCTTCCAAGCCAGGAGGCTGGTGCAGCATGTTTAGTGTTTGTTCTGCCTCTCTTGACCCTGGAGGTCCAGCAGACTGAGCAGCCCCTCCAGCAATGGCCTCTGACTGAGAGGCAGCGGGTACCTTGCACAAGGGTGCCCAGGGAAACAGGGTGTGAAAATGTGTGGTTGAAGCTGCTGGGTGGGCATTGGGCTTCTGCGGGGATGGTGGTGGAGGAGCCTTTGACATTGAATTAGAAGCTGGGGAGCTGGTATTCTAAAGGTTACCTCAGTGCCCTGGCACTTGGGAGAGGCCAGGCCTGAAATTCCTGAAAATGCAAGCACAGGGTCCAGGCCTAGGGATTGCTCAGAACCTGGGGTCAGCCTCTGATGTGCAAGCAAGCTGTCCCTGAGCTCTGTGGGGGTATGAAGACAGTAATGATTGATGCCTGCCTGTCTGTCCTCTGCAGAAGCCCATTGGGGAGCAGTTCCGCAAGGAGGTTCATATCCGGAACCTTCCGTCTCTCTTCAAAAAGGTGAAGCCATCACTGGAGACAGATGTGCTAGAAAATGAGGATGGAGAGGGCTTCAATGTTCTCTTTGAACCCTGAGACTGGGATGCTGCAACCATCTCCTCCCCTACCTTATAATTTGTCTCTCCTCATAGTAAGCACATTAGATTCTCCTTGTCACTGCCTCCATAAGCATTCGTCTGAATAAAGCCCCTTACGGGTCCTGTCCCCTTCTCTTCCATACGCTGGGATGGGGCCTGCGGTGGCATTTGAACCAGTCAATATTAAGCTCTTCCCGTGACTCCTTCCCCTCCTTTGGATGAGCATCTTTAGACCTCTGCTTCTCTGCAAGGTGGGAGCTGAGTCCATAGACCTCTTTAGGGTAAAGCCTGATCATATTGTAGCCTCGGGTCACTCTTGCTCCCTCTTCAGCCCTTGGGGTTTAGGATTAATGCAAAAGGCAGAGTAGTGTGCCATGTGAAAAGGGGCTACCCTAATCTAATCTTCCTCTGGGTGCTAGTAGCCAGGCTTTGTAGGGAACACATCGGACACTCCTGTCATGCTTGTCAGCACTGGTCCCTAGCGGACTGGAATTCTGCTGAATCAGTTTCCCTCCAGGATGCTGAGCCTTGGGCTGAGGGCTGCGTGCCAGGAAGCCTAGCAGTGCTCTAGGATCTCCTGTGAGATCAGCCTTTCTAAGGTGCAACTGCTCTCTAGAAAGAGGCAGACACTGTCATATGTATACATATGTATGTATAGATATGATCTTACAGCTTGTTCTACCCAGAGCCAAATGGAAGGCTTTTACTTTGTGCCAGCCTTTCTTGGACATCTCTCAGGGGGAGCAGGACATATTTTTTCTTAATTTTTTTTTTTTCATTTTTCCATGCCCTGTAGACTAGAACTTGGCCAGCGCAGGGTAATAAAATCTGGACCAATACCTGAAGCACCTGCAATCCAAAAGGGATCTCCTTGCCCTGTTGCAATGGAGGTGACAGGCCCCTGTTTCTACCCAGTCTGGTACTTCCCAGAGAATTGCATGGTGGGGCAGGAGGGGTGGGCTTTACACTGCAGTTTACAGGGGGAGCCAGGTCAGAAACTGGGTTTTAGATGTGGTGGGACTCTTATGAAGCCACTCCAGTCTGCAAAGCTGGTTCTTCTTACATGACAAATACTACACAATCTATCCTAGAGTTAGCGCAGGAGCTAGGGGGGTCTGTCCAGAGCTAGCTGGCAGCTTTGCCATCCAGGAGACAGAGCAAGTAATAAACTGTGGTAGGTGGAGAAGTGATGTCTCCACATGGACAGACTGGACAAAAAGGCTGGGGTTGGGAGGTGAGGGAGTGCAGATAGGAAGAGCAGGCCTTGGGCATCCACTCACCCTCCTGCCCCTGCTGTTCCACCAGCACCCTCCACTTTCTTCCTAGCCTCAAACTTTTTTAACCTCTGAGCTAACATGGCTCCTGGCTCTAGCAAAGGCTGGGTGTATTTATTGTGTTGTGATATTTTTAACATTCTGTGACTTCATGCTAGACACAAGGGGTTTTTGTAAAATGGATTTTAAACCTTTTTTGTAGGAATGTTTAAATCCGAAGCTGTCTCTGAACTGGTTGTGTTACACCTGAATGTCAGTAAAGCTATTCCAGTTTCATACATATGGTGTCATGTTTCATTTTTATTCTTTTACCTGTTTCAGTAAGGTCATGAGGCCTCTGGTCTGACCAGACTGCCTGCCTGGAGATTTCTCAGCATTCCTTATTCCAGCTACCAAAAAGGGAGCACCTTTGGTGGTGGTTAGTACACTGACAGGGAGGGGATGAACCATTCCAGATGATACAGTTTAATTAGGTGAGGGGGAAATTGTATTTTTAAAGTATTTATTTGTCACTGCTAGTTTATTTTAATTCTAGGTCCCAGCTTACAGCTTGAGGGTATGTGCTGTCAAAGGGTCTGTCCCATAAGCATTTGGAGCAATAGCACAGAGATAGAGAGATAGATAGATAGACAGCTAGACAGATTGTCATAGGCACAGGCAGCATATGCCTGGGTCTGCAGCATGGCATGGGACAGGCTGGGGTTGGAGCCAGGATGCCAAGTGTGCCTCCTCCCTACAGCATGTTCATTCTAACAGGATGTTTACATTCTAAGTAATTCTACCCCAAGGAAACAAACTTTGATTCCACTTACTTGCTGAGGTCTAGCACTAAAGTGTGCATTGACTTCAGCAAATGGGACACACCAATACTCCCAGACATTTTCAACTCTTAACACTCAACCACATTGCTCAAGTCCCCATCTAATCTGGCCTTGAACACTTCCAGGGATGGGGCATTCCCAGCTCTGGGCAACCTGTGACAACCTACCCCTACCCTCATTGTAAAAAATACCTAATGTTCAATATAAGTCTGCCTTCTTCCAGTTCAAAACTGTTGGCCCTCAGCCTGTCACTACAGACCCTGCTGAAGTCTTTCTCCATCCCTCTTTATATACTGAAAGGCCAGAACAGGGTTTCCCTGGAGCTTTCTTGTTCTCCAGGCTGAACAATCCCAGCTCTCTCAGTTTCTTCATAGGAGAGATGTTCCAGTCCTCTGACAGTACAGCCTTTTCTCCATCATATTAACTATCCCTGAGCTGGTCTGAAACACCCACAAAACAGCCATGCCCTGATAGCAACTCATTAAACCTCACTGACCTGCTGTGAAGTACTTTACTACGCTGCCCTATCAGTCCTCCTTACTGCAAACCATCTAAAATTAATGCTGTTACTCATCTTTAGACATGCTGCCACTTTCTTCTCCATGTATTACGGTTTAACAATTGTGAATGGCACAGGAGACAGCTAAAAAAAAAGAAAAAAAAAGAAAAAAAAGAAAAAAAGCCTTTATTTGATTGCATCTTCTCACTACGGCTCATTACCAACAGAACAATCCAGAGACAGTCCTTGGACGCTGAGCAAGGCCCTGCCTATGGAAGAGGAATTCCCCCTAGAGGCAGGTGCAGGAAGCCCAGAACAGCAGTGCAGGTTTCTGCTTTCCCAGCTACAGCCTGGTCACTCCATAGACACCGAGTCCAGCTCATTGAGGAAGCGCTGACACTTTCCCATCAGGATCTTGATGGCTTCACTCACCAGCACATCTGGAGGCAAGATACCCGTCGACTCCACGGAAACTGCACAGACACAGACACAAGTCAGCACAGCCACGAGGCAGCCTCAGCCTCCATGCTGCACCTGGCTCCATGCTGCTGCCCCTCACCTTCCCTTACACCTCACAGCAACAAGCCACATCTTCACAGCCACAGAAGCGGCTACCTTTGCCAGCAGGAAGCACCAACAGATTCAGTCCCAAAGCAAGGAGTTACCCACCACATTCTGAATGTATGGATGCTGAGGGTGGGAAGAGGCACAGAGCCAGCCACACATGCTTGTTGACCCAAACCATGTCAGGACTCCGTGGAAAACGGGGCACTTACAGATGTAGTGGTTCCGTACTCTTGCCAGGCGCACGAGGTTTTTCAGGCCCTCATGTCGGAACACTTCTCTGCTGAATGTGTCCAGCCGAGCGTTGGCTACTCTTGCCACCTTCTTTCCTAAAGGGGAGATGAAACAAGATGGGCAAATTGCAGCAGGTGGGTGCCCTATGGTCACGTGCTTACCTCAGACACTCCCCCTCACCAAGGCTGAGACACACCAATATAAAGAATTAGCATATGCCCAACATGAAACTCCAACCTGGCAGGAAAACCCAAACACAGAGCCTGGGTGCACCCCTGGAAGGACACAAGAAGACTCCATGCTCAGCTGCTTTTCCAGCTCACTACCCAGTGTCACAACTGAACAGCACTGGAAGCTGCAGTCAGCAGCTGCAGAGCTCTGTGGACAGGTATCCAATTTATTTCAGGTACATCCCTGTTCATCACCCAACACATTTGCATGTGGCAGCCATTCATCCATAAAACCAGGCTCAGAAGAGCATGAAACATTGATCAGCAAAGCAACATCACGGTGTGGTTTTGTCTCTGCAAAGTTTAGCTCTAAGCTCCAATTGGTCTCTACTAAAGCTTGCAAGGAACAAGGCACTCAGCACAGGAAAAAAGTACCATTGATGTTCTGGATCTCAATGACCCCAGGGGAAAAGCACTTCTGCAAGGTCTCAGCTGCCTCATCCTCAATGGGCTGCAGGAGAGTAATGTCAGGAAGCAGTCGATAACTGGCTGTGGCCACAGGAGAGAACTTGGCGTGATCCTTACCTGCAAGAAGAGTTAAGAGTCAAGGATGAGAGCAGGCCTCAAGGATGCTGGGGCCTAAAGTTCCAGGGGAAAAGCCAGTTCTCCACCCTTCCCCATCACAGTGCCCTCGTCCAAGCACTCCCACTGCTTGTCCCACTGCCCCAGGAGCCATGGCTCACCTATACCCTTGACACAGTGCATCAGCACATCTATTTCCTGCCCCGGTCGCAACAGTGCAATGAGGATGTCATCGTGAACGGGTCGGAAGTCAGCATCTGGAAAAAGGTCTGTCTGATTCCCCAGGGGCACCCACGTCATGTGCTTACTGTACACTGCAAAGAGAAACCACAGGCATCAGCCAGCTGCTGCCTCAGAGCAGGTCACTCACTTGTACAGGACTGGAGATAGCAAAAAGTAAGTTTAGCAGAATGGAATCAACTCTCCCTGTGAGCACACAGGGCTGAAAAAACAGCCCAAGTCCTGTCTTCCAAGACCAAAAAGAAAAAACAGCACCTATTTTTAGGAACAATCTCACCTTTATGATTGAAATATAGTTCATCAGGATCAGATGATTCCTTGGCAGCATGAGGGTTTCGTTTACATTTGATTTTCAGCTGAAACTGCAGAGTGTCAATTTCAGTCCCTTCTTGATCTCCTGGGAAGAAGCATATGAAATCACACTTCTGCTCAGTTTACACAACCCTGATTTCCTACTTCGAGAGAAACCTTCAGTATTTCTATTCCATTCAAGAGTCTCACCTTGGTTTCTGTACTCAAAGAGCCGAGGGTCAGCTCGGATAGGGATGAGGCCCAACCTATGAGCCAGAATTTCATCCTGCACAATGGATGTGTTGTTATACACAAAGACCTTCTCTACAGCCATCGTGGGCACCTCAGGGAGACAAGAGATCAAGTCAGCCTAAGACAAGAGCTGAACTCCATGCCAAGAGATTATCCAGCTCAAGCGTCCCTTCTCTCCCACAAGTAATTGCCATGCAGACTATTTTGAGTGGTATTTCTGCCAAATCAGGCTATGCAATATACCCTTACACTCCATCTAATTCCATCCCAATTTTTTCTAAACAAGAGGTGAAGGGCAGGAGAAAGGGCTTTGGGGCATCCTCAACCTTTTAGCCTGGCAGCGTTCCGTGGCTTCTGCTGGGTTGGCAACACAGCTGTGTTGAAAAGGCTGACCCGCAGACAGCACCAACAGCACCCAGGAGCAGTAGGCGGTATCGCCCATGCTGCTGAAGCCCTGATTCTCTTTGGGCTCCTGGCACACGTGTGGAACGAGCGGGTGTTCTCTTCCAAAACCCGCGGCTGTCCGCAAGGGCTGGCAAGGCTGGACATTCCCCGCTCCCTGAGGAGCCAGTCTTAGCGGCACCGCCAGTGAGCGCGGCTACCTCGGCGAGCAGGATGCGGCGGAAGGCGTTGGCGATGGCGGCGTCGATGCCCACCATGTCGAACTCCAGGGTGTCCTCCTCCTCACGGATCACGTCCACGCGGAAGGCCTGCGGGAGCCGCGCACGGCGGGTCAGCGGGCGGCAGGGCCCGGCCCGCAGCCCACAGGCCGCCGCTCACCCACCTCCTCGAAGCGCCGCTGGTCCCAGGCGTCCTCGTAGCCGGGGTAGTTCCCGGGGAAGTCGGTGGTGTGGACCTGCGGGAAGAGGGCACAGGCGGGGCCGTGAGGGGCTGCGGGCGCCGGCCGCGCCCCGCCCCGGCCCGCCGGGCTCGCTCACGTTGCGGACGCCGAACTCGCCCAGCACCACGCGGTCGCGCATCTCGTCCGTGCCCCGCCGGGCCGCCATGAGGGCGAGGGGCGGCGCTCCCGGCCGGCAGCGGCCCCGCGGCCGCCGTCACATCCGGCTCCCGCCCATCCGGGCCAGCGCGGCGGGGCCGGGACGGGCACCATGGCCGCGCCGGGGGCGGCGGGCGGCGGCAGAAGCGGCGCCCCCGCTGCCGAATGGGGCGGCTTCGAGGACAACATGCAGGTGGGGCCGGGCCGGGGCGGCGGCGGGGCGGCGGGGCCGGGCCGAGCGGGTGCTGACACCGGGTCTGCCCCGGCGCAGGGTGGCGGCTCCGCCGTCATCGACATGGAGAACATGGACGACACGTCGGGCTCCAGCTTCGAGGACATGGGGGAGATGCACCAGCGCATGAAGGAGGAGGAGGAGGAGGAGGCGGAGGGCGAGGCGGGCGCCGGCGAGGAGGAGGACGGGGAGTTCCTGGGCATGAAGGGGCTGCGGGGGCAGCTGGGCCGGCAGGTCGCTGACCAGGTGAGCGCTGGGCCCCGCCCGGCCCCGGGGTCCCTGCCTGCCCGCCCGGCCGCTGCCCGCCCCCTTCTCTCCGCAGATGTGGCAGGTGGGGAAGAGACAAGCCTCCAGGGCCTTCAGCCTCTACGCCAACATCGACATCCTCCGGCCCTACTTCGATGTGGAGCCCGTCCAAGTGCGAGCCAGGTGGGCAGCCCGGCGCGGGGAGGCTCCGTGCCCGCAGGAGCCTGGCTGTCGGCTCCGAGCGAGCAAGCAGCAGTGGGCTGGCAGCCCTGCAGGAAGACTCACCCCTGGGCACACACACTGTGCGTTGTCCTGCTCACCTTAGTGAGATCCTGTCCTTGGGCTAGCAGCCCTGTCACCTGGCATTGCTGCTCAGGGCAGGAGAAGGGGCTCTTTTCATACCTGGCTGCCTTATGTGGCTTCTGTTGGGTTTGCAACACAATTGTATCCAACAAGGCAAAGTTTTGTGAGCCTTCATGAGGAAAATTACCTTTCCTTTCTGCTGTTCTGTCAGTGATCTCTCATCTGTGAGTGGATTCCTAAACATTGAGTCTGCCCCTCCTCAACAAAGTTAACCCACTGACAGTAAGGTTTTCTTTCTTTAGTGGCCTTGAGTCAGCCTTTAGAAAGAATCCTCTGTCCCTCAAGGCCTGTCAACACTGGTAATGGGTATATGGTATCTTTTACTTATGAAGCATTTTGTTAACTATCCTGTTGTTCTTCCTGCTCCTGTTGTCATTCCCTGTGATGCAGACTGCTGGAGTCCATGATTCCTGTGAAGATGATTAATTTCCCACAGGTAAGTTCCCTTTTGCTGAATCAGACTCCATGGCTAAGTGACTGTCCCACAGACACCTGGTAAAACTTGTAATAATTCATGTTATTAAGGACTGAGGTTGTTAGGTGTTCTTCTCCCTAAAAATGTTGGTAGCTCCTTTCCATGGTTGTTCCAAACCTCAGTGCTGTCACCTAACCTCAGGTGATAACCTGGTGATAGATTCCATCCAGTGCACTTCGTACATCACCTGTGGTGGGGACCCTGGCATTCAGGGGCTCTAACCAAACTTTCCCTCACCTGTCCCCCCCTCCTGTAGAAGATTGCAGGCGAGCTGTATGGACCCCTCATGCTGGTTTTCACGCTGGTGGCCATTCTTTTGCATGGAATGAAGACCTCAGACACCATCATTGTACGTCGAGTTTCAGCGATAAGTGTGGTTTGACTGGGCTCTGGGTTGCTGTAGTGATACTAGAAAGGGAGAGGAAACCTCTTCTATAACTGAATAAGCATCTTGCTGAAAAGCAGATTGATTTGAGGATGTTGGCTTGGGGGTGGGAGGAAGGATGAACCAGAAAGTCCTGACACTGCTGCTGGGAGAGCTTGGGGTGGCCCCCTGAATGCTGCTGGCCACCTATTTGATAATTCCTGCAATGTGTCTGGGACTCTCAGGGGTTAATTTGGATGGTGGCAGGCAATTCCTTTGAGTTCTCCTCATCCTGACACTGTCTCCACAGAGGGAAGGCACGCTGATGGGCACAGCCATTGGCACCTGCTTCGGTTACTGGCTGGGCGTCTCATCTTTCATGTATTTCCTGGCATATCTGTGCAATGCCCAAATCACGATGGTGCAGATGCTGTCACTGTTGGTATGTACTCATGGAGCTGCCCTGTGATGCACATTGGTTGTGTGGTGTTCCAGAACAAACTTTTCACAAAGAACAGGAAAAGTCTTTATAAACTGCTGGTAACTGCACTGGGACAACATGGAATTTCAGGATGTTCTTCTGAGCTGCCCCATCCCTGGCACAGCGATAGTACAAAGGGGCAGTTCCTTCATGCAGGTCTCCTGCTTTGCACTTCCTGATTTGAGAACCTGGTGGTAAAAAGCCAGGAGACTCCAATTTCTCTGGGACTGGAGAATCTTTCCTCTGTTTCCCACGTTGTCGCAATCTCTGACATGCCTGTGGATCCTTCAGACAGATAATCTGTGTGTGAGCAGTTGAAGTTGTTGTTCTGGTTGACTGTGGCAGTGAATGAGTGGTTTGTGAGGCTTTGCCATGGTGAAGTGTTGCAGGAATAGGCTGTTCATGCTCTTGATCAGTGGCCCTTTGTGTGGGACTGGTGCTTGTAACATGGACGTTTTTGTTTTGCCAGGGCTATGGCCTTTTTGGACACTGCATCACTCTCCTTGTCACCTACAATATCCACTTCCACTCCCTCTTCTATATCTTCTGGTTGGTCGTTGGTGGACTCTCTACACTACGAATGGTAAGGGACAGGCAGCCTGGGGTCCTCCTCTTCCTGGGACAGAAAAAGGGAGGGAAGTGGTGTTTGCTTTCTGCTCCTTGGCCTGGTGGTTCATTTCACAGCCAGTCAAACTGCTCCTGCATAATTTGGCCACTGGTGTGTGGAGGTGCTGCTTGAATTAATATCCTCACTCATCTTAACAGCTGCAGGAGGTTCATTTACTCTCTTACAGCCCTTGCTGCTGTGGAGAGCCATGCCAGAGCATCCTGAACTCTTGGCAAGACTGGGCAAGCTTCACCTACACAAAACAGTGCCAGATTACTCCAGATTTGTTGGTGAAAACTGCAAAAAAGACTTAGTGCAGTGTTCCTGCAGATTCTCACTGCCTGACCTGTTCTTCCATGTGTTCGTGACTGCAGTGCCAGAGCCTCAGGTGCAGGTGCCCTGTCTCTGATCACCTCCTCTCTCCCAGGTCGCTGTGCTGGTGTCACGCACCGTGGGACATACCCAGCGGCTCATCCTGTGTGGGACTCTTGCTGCTCTGCATATGCTTTTCCTCCTCTATCTGCACTTTGCTTATCACAAGGTGGTAGAAGGTAAGCAAGGGAGATACGAAGACATCCTGTTAGATTTGGGGGAAGAGGAGTTGTTTTTTCTCTCTCTGAGAGAAAGGATGGACAGTTTGAATCTCCTTTGGGCATCGGTGCCAGTTTCCAGCTCTAAAATCACTACCACTAGCTTTTTAGAAGAAGCTGGTCAAGTAGGGCAGCAGGTAAATGTTGGGGTAGTTACTGTGCACTGAGTTTTATCACTTAAGACCAAATTTGTGAGGCAGGACCCTAATTATTTCCCCACAAGTGAAGTGTAACCAAACTGACTGTTCTTGCATGCAGATGTCCAGCCCCTTTCTGAATATTGTTGAAGTCAGGTGGTTTTTCTCTGATCAGGGAATGTGTCATAAGTGTTTTTCCTTCTTTGTTCAGCATCTTTTTGTATCTTGTGTTGTATAGCACAGACAGCAGAAGCTGTATCTTCCCCATCTGGTACTGTTAACCATGCCATGCATGTTTATGTCCTCCTTCCATCTCTTCTTGTTTTCTCCTAACAAAGTCTCAGCCTCCTTAAAAAAAAAAAAAAACAAAAAACAAAACTCTTCTCCCACCCCATTTCTAGAGGGTTTCCAGATCTCTCCCCCTAAAAAAAAAAAAAAAAAAAACAAAACCACAAAGCTCTTCTCCCACCCCATCTCTAGAGGGTTTCCAGATCTCTAAATATCCCTAAATATGCAATTCTGCAAGGCTCTTCTATGAGTTTAGGCAGCCAGACCCATTTGTGATATTTCTGATAAAGCTGCATAATTAGCATAATAGCATTACAAGTCCTTTTGGATATGAATCTTGTCTTTCCTGAATCTCTTCTTATAGCAAAGGTTCTGATCTGCAGCTTTTTGGCAGATGAAACAGAATAAAATATACTCCAAGCAATTTTCCTCAAAGCACTCCAAAACTGATTATCAGTCTTGAGAGGGTAATTGACAGAGACTTGAGGACATTTGCATTGGTCTGTGTATTTCCTGCCAAGCATGGTCTGTTTGCATTGCAGTGACAAAAATTCCACATTGCAGCACAGCTGCAGCTCCTGATGTGAGTCTGCAAGTGTATCTCAGGATGAAAGGGAGTCTTGGTCTAAGAGTGAGATCTGTGCTGGGATGAAGTAGAAACCGGATTTTATCAATTTCCCTCAGCAGAGCAACATCTCTGGCAGTCCCTGCGTTCAGGTCGAATGGCAGGGGACCAGATCTGACACTCTCCAAGTAAAAGGGTCTGTGTTCCTTTTGGGAACATGCAGTTTTTCCACCCTGAGCACAAGCTCTGATGGTCTCTGGATGGAAGTGTTTACTCCTGTTCAGTCTTTGGGGCTAGATGTCTCCTCCCATTGCCTACAAGTGTTTTGCCTGTTCTGGGCCTTGCCACCCTCAACCACTACCTGGACAGAGAAAAGCAAGAAGAAATGTGCCATCTGCTATCATCTGAACTAACTCTTGCCTCTCCCCCCTTTTTTCTGTTCTCCAGGTATCCTGGACACATTGGAAGGACCCAACATGCCACCCTTTCAGAGAGTTGCCCGAGACATTCCAGTTGTTTCCAATGCGGTATTGAACACAACAGCCAAAGCCATTGCATTGACCCTCTAGTTTTACAGACTTGGACTTGCTTCCTTCACTACTTTTGGGGCTGCATAGGGCCACAGTAACCTGCTGCCTGTTAGGAACAGGACAGAACAGCAAGAAGACAACTTGGTTTTGTTTTCCTGGACCTTGTCCTCTGCATTACGGTTTTGGGCAGCTGAGTGGAC